TTAAAAAAAATAATAAAATAAAAAATAAAAACACAAGCCCTTGGTGTGGTGCTGGTCTGGGAAGCATTATTTGTAATTTAGAAATACGGAAGCCACTAAGTGTTCCGTAGTTGGCACGTGGTCGACTTTGACAGGCACAGTGGAAAGCAATGCAGTGGTTAATGCAAGTCTCCAGGTGACGTCAATTTCTGGGAACATGTATGTGAAGAAACAACACATGAAAAAAGCAAAGCGCAGTCAGCAAAATGCAAAGGTAAAGACTGTGTGAATGCTTGAAGGTGTTTTTGAATTCAGTCTTTCCCGATTGAGACCAGTGAAATCCTTCAGCCAAGCCTGGTGTTGCCATCTGGCTCAAAGCCCTGCACTACGTGCACTAGGACAAGAAGACTGAATTTTTCCATGGAGATATTTCTAGCTAACTCATTAAGAAACACGGTGGAAACAGATGGGCAGGCTACTTCTGTGTGGGTACCTCATTCTTTTCCCAGAGCGTCAACTCCTTCTTTGACTGCTCCAGCTTCTGGGACCGGTCCACCACGAAGTAGATGAGATAAATGCTCCCCGCGAGTGAGAGAAGCACCAGGATGTTGGCGATGACCCTCAGGCAGATGGTCACTGCTCTGTGGGGGGAGGCTGGCATGAGGATGGGGTCACTGGGTTCTGTGCAGGGCACCGCAATGCACAGACAATTTGAGTTATTTTCCACCAAGTGGGTCCCCTGCTTGAAGACTCGGTGCTCTTTTATCCCCCTCAGAATTTCTCATTTCTGAGGAGATCAACAATGAGTTATAAATCCAGCCCACCAGCTGCCCCCCACTGCAGCCTCAGAGGACCCCCAGGGCAGCAGGCAGTAGGTACCAGTGAGAGGGAGGAGCGGTGTGTGCACACAACTGTGGCAGCGACATAGCCCTGCCCGGCAGCAGGGTCTGGAGAAACAGGTGTGGCCAGAAAGACTGGGAGGGGCACAATAGAGGTGTCCCACCCCCTCCATAAAGGGCAAGTCCACTCTCTGGGTGACCTGAAACAGGTCACAACACCTCGCTCTACAAGTGTCTCGGCCCTTCATCTGTCCAATGAGGAAACTCACTCCAAGTGAAATGATAAATGTGGCTTTGTCTTCCTGGAAAGCTTTAGATACAGAATCACAGAGCACTGGAGACAGAAAACCTGAGAGAGTGAGGTCCATTAACACCATCCTGATGTTTCTTCACTCCCTCATGGCCCCAGGCCATGCTGTCATCATCTGTAGGGTCTTTCTACCCATGTGGTCCCCTGAGGCAGGTCATGCAGTTGTGAGCCCCCTCTTTACCCCCACAGCAACTGATGTTCCTTGTGGTGATTGCACCAGAAAATGCAGGTGGTGGCCCTGGGTGAGGTCGCCAGTCAAGTGTCAGTTTCCCCCTTTCTCTGCCCTCTTCCTTCCACGTCCTGTTATAGTATCCTGGATAACCCAGGATGCCTATCACACATCTATTTTCCTCAAGTTTTCACAGAATCAGGGGGATTCAGAATTTGTTTGTGGAAGAGAGATGAGAAACAGATTTTCTGCTGATTTGTTTGCTTGTAATAATGAATCACTGAATTAGACATCTTTGAACTGGAATGGATTTAGGATTACTGTAGTTTTCAAATTTGAGGGAACATAAAAATCACTGTGAGTCTTGCTTTGTAAGACCTGTTAAAAATGTGGATTCTTGTGTCCCACTCCCAGAGATTCTGATTTAGCACATTGGGGTAGGTGCCACAGGGGTCTGCACTGTCAGCCCCCGAAGGAGGTTCTGATGTGGGTGGGCGCTCCCCACCCTCTGAGGAGCACTCATGGAGTCGCACCCTCTCACGTCCCAGGTGAGGAAGTGGAGGCCCAGAAAGGCGAAGGGCGTTTCCCAGGTCATGGAAGTTAACGACAACGAGAGGGCTAGAATCTGTCTGCCCACTCCCTATGCAGAGTCCTTCCCGCCACGACACCCTGCTTTCTCTCGGGGGCTGGGCATGTTTCCTCAACTCCCCACATCTACAGCATTCCTCTGGGCGGGCTTTCTGCATTGTGGAAACTTATCCTGGGGGCTAACGAACCAGTGAGGCTATCAGATGAGCAGACACGTCTGCCCCATGAGGTCATTGCCCCATGAGGTCCTCGCCTTTCCGTATCATGGGTTCTCCAGCTGAAAGGCCTCACCCTCACCAACGCAGCCATCAAAACTTCGAGCAGAACTGCAAACCAGAGAAGTCACCTTGGAAGTCTTGTCAACAAGAATTGGATACTGTTTGTGTCCATGACTTTAGAGACTTGTCGCTAAATAAAATTAGTCTTGGCTTAACTTAGCAAACTAGAAATTGGTGCTAAAAATACTTCTTTTATTAGGTAAGTAAAAGACGAGTCAGCCGGTCAAGTTCAGACCCCTCACCGTGGCGGGAGCTATGGAGGGAGGAGCCCCTCCTGGGTACTGCTGTTGAAACACTGCAGTTCCCACACATCACGCCACTACAAGGACAGATTTTAGGAAGAAAAGAGCTGCCTGACAATGTGTGACAATAAGATCTAGACAGTCTGGCAATTTTGGTACCAAATTAAAACAGCTTATCAAGGAATTCAGTCTGAGGAGTCTCAATACTTACAGGTTTTTGCTTTTCTTCTTTTCCTGTTCTTCCAGTATAGCCTCCTTTAAGGAAAAACACATATGGCATTCAAAGCTTAGCAGTATCATTAATCATAAACCTTTAGAAACATTTTATGAAAAGAAATGATTTATCTGATATTTTTATTTATAATCTCAATGTCTAGACTTCACTTTGTAAGATTCTATTGATATCAAATGCTTTATAGAATAATAAATAGATGAAAAAGGAAATTGGGAATTGGAAAGAGGAGATGAAAGAGTAAATTATTTAGATAATTGAAATGATCTGAATAATTTTTTTCTCAAAAGGGGGCACCATTTAGCCGTCTGTGCTGTTCAGTATCCCAAGTCTCTGAATGCCTTTGATTGCATTGTCTTCTGAACACTAAAATGTATTTACTCATTTACAAGTGATTTACATGCAACATGGTAGTAACCATTATGCGAATTATCAAAAATACACAAATTGAAATTTTAGAAGGACGAAATAAAAAAATAAAAATAAAGAGAAGTTTCAATATTTCCTTTCTGTACTCCATCGGCTTGCTTGGTGCATGGCGGGGCCTGTCTCCTCACTGTGGAGTCGGCTGCCTGGTCTATGAGCACCCTGGGAAGAGGAGCATACTGACTTCCAGCAGAGGGCCAGCGGGCCAGCCGCTCGCCCAGCTGTAGAGGTGGTGGTGTGAAGAGCCCTGACTCCACGCTCCCGCCCTCCCTCCCTCCCTCCCTCCCTCGGCAGCTGGACAGGCTCCTCACTCACCCTGATGCTGTTCACAATGGCAGCTGTTTTGCTCTCTGCAGCTTCTGGGTTCCCAATGAGGTAGTCCCAGGCACAGAACACCCGCCAGCAGAAGGTGTAGTTTTCATTGGAAGCACTGGCAAGGCTCGTGCGGGAGTTCTTAGCCATCCTGCAAAAGAGGACCCAGAGCAGGTCATGCAAGAACAGTGTCAGGAACAGGCTGGGCCACTGGGGCCACTGTGAGCCCACACAGAGCCCGGGGTGACTTAGAACCAGCCGCCCCTCTGGGTAAACGCAGCAGAGCACCGGCTGGATTCAGCCCCCACTGTGTCCTCAGCCAACCCCTTTGAACAGCTGAAAACAGGAATGGCCTGTTACTGGGTGAGTCTATTTGACAAGTGGTCCCACCAGAGGGGTGGCCGGGAGGCCACTGAAGGTATGTGTGGCCCGGGAGCCGGCCCATTCCAGCTCTGCGGCTGTGACTGTGAGGTGCAATGCTCTCCTCTGAGCTGAGCCAGTCTCCTAGGAGCCCTGCCCACGGAGGGAGACGCCAACCCTTGGGGCCACCCAGGGCACGCCGGGGCCCTGTGCACAGGAAGCTCCGTTAGATGCGTTTGAAGGCAGGAGTCAGGCTTCCTCCTCAGGTGGAGGTCCCCTGTCCTTTAGACTGTTTCTCCTGTCATAAGCTTTTACCTCTCCTCTCCATCCTCTCCACCCACATTTCTTCCTCCTGAATCTGCTTCAATTGGTCTCTTAAGTTGTGACATCTGGCAAGGGGCCTGTCTCCTAGGTGGGTTTTGAGGCCACCCACAAGTCAGCTGGAAAGCTTCCTGTGAACTGAAGGCCCGAGTCACTGTGCGTCTCCCCAGGTTTCTGTGTGGAGATGATGATGATTGTTTTATCTTTTTTTATCCCGAGCACATCTATCTGCACTTTGCTAAGATGCCACAAGGGGCAGAGCAACCAAGACAAACTAGCAGCACAAATCAGAGAGAAGGAGCAGCTGAGCCAAGATGGGGAGGGGCCCGGTTCTCCCTGGGCTCAGAGCCGCTGTCAGGCTGCATTTGTCTAGCTCCTACGTGAAGGCACAGAATGTGAAAGCCAGAAGGGAAGCTGGCAATTTTCTGAGCCAATCTGCCCATTTTACAGATGAGGCCCAGAGAGGGACAGGGAGTTGCTGTAGGACTCGCAGTGGGGGTGGTGCACGATTCCTAACCCCAGCCAGTTCGTTTTGTTTGCACTGTGCCTCCTCTCAATGCTGAGCTAGATGTGCGAACTGCATCACGACACAGATGAGCTCAGACTTCACAGCATCTGTAGCTGGGTCACAGGTAAACATATGGCCACAGGAAGGTGTTTTGCTTTCTGCAACCTCTGGTCACCTAAACCATATTGTTCACACCTCCATTTGTGCACTTACTACATTGTCTGAATGACATTAACTGGTAAGTCTGTATGATTCTTGTCTCTCCAGAACCAACTCAGAACCTGGCATGAAGTAGTAAGTGTTCAGCTAGTGTTGGTTAAAATGATTGTTTCTCTTTTAGCCTTGGTCTCCTCATCTGTAAAATGGGTACAGTTACGCCTTTACTTTACAGGGTTATTGACGAAATTAAATGACATCATACATAGCATTCTTGGCAGGTATTTTGAGAAACTAAGCAGTCATACTTTTTTAAGAGAATGATGAAGCTGTAAGCAAATACTGCCATCCCCACCAGGAAATACGCCAAGGGCAGCCGGTAGCCTGCTCTGCCAATCCTTCGCTCCCTGCCATAGTAGCCGTAGAAGAGGACTGAGTACTGGAGGTAACCCTGCAGAGAAAGCACTCCGTGTCACTTCTGACTCCCAGTCCCAGAACTGTAGCCCATTCACTATGACCCCCCAAGATAAGAGTGTGGCCAAGGCTCCACCTCACCCCCAGGGACCAGACGGTGTCCAGGTCTTGGGCAGATGCAACCTGCTCCTTGGGGATGGTCTTGCTGGCCGTGCTTCCAAAGGGCTGGCCTGCAATGAGCTGGTGAGAGAGGAAGGGATGTCATGTGGTCCTTTGGTTGGACGGGCAGAAGAAAGGGGCGGCTGATCTCCATGCATCCAAGAAGATGCTGCACATAAGAGACCTCTAGGGGGTGGATATCTGTTTGATTCTCACTGATGGAAAATTAGGCACAGGTGGCCAGATTTTCCTTTTGCCTGGTCAGGGACCACCTGAGTGTACTCTCTCTGAGCCAGACATGGCTTCTGTGGGTGGATTTTTGAGGTCACTGGGTTTCTACATTGGTATGGGAAATGGACCCATTTACTTTGTGAGGATGAAGTTTAGTTGAAGAATGGGTTTTATTTTAACATGGTGGCGGCAAAGTGGCCCATAGGCCAAACCCAGCCTATCACCTCTTTTTGTATGGCCCGAGAGCTAAGAATGATTTTTGCATTTTTAAATGATTGGAAAAAAATCAAAATAATAATATTTTGTGACACATAAGAGTTATATGAAATTCAAATTTCAGTATCTATAAATAACATTTCATTGGGACACAGGCACAGTCATTAGTTTTTGTCCTAATATGGCCGTTTCTGCACTACATGGTAGATGTGAGTCGTCGTTACTGAAACTGTGTGGCCCACAAAGCCAAAAATCTTGACTCTCTGGCCCTTTGCAGGCAAAGTCTGCCGCATCCTGTTTTAACACACATATTCTCCTTCCCACACTGACAACGAGGGTACTCATTTTATGCTAAGTCGTTTCATGCCACTGGTCTAATATCCTTTCTTTTTAACGAATGGCACTTTTTTTCTCTCTTGAAGTGGTTCTTACCTCTGGAATGACAATAAAAGCACCTGTCATAATCGTGAGCACAATATTAATTCCAAATAGCCATCTCAAGAATATGAAATAGGAGGCAACACCAGATCCAAAATGACCTAAAGAAAGATAAGATAATAAGAACAGTTCATATGAAACCCTCACAGTGCAAGAAGTCCTCCGTAAAGCAACACTGTAATTTTTCTTATATCAGCAGGACATAGACTAAGAATGCCGTGATTGTACCGTCAGTGTTCCCCCAAATGCTCATTTAGATGCATCAAGATGTTCATTAATATTTACCAGTTGTATATACAGAAAAAAATCCCTAATTTAATAATTTCCCTAATGACGTATTCATCTAAAACGCTTTTATCAAATTTACAACATTACATGTATGTTCAGAAGTATCAGCATCTTTTGAGAATTTATTATATTTCTTCTTCATTTTGCATAGTTCTGAGAATTCCAAGAATTTTTCTAAGGATTCTTTTGTCTTAATTTCAAGATAAATAACAATTTGCTGGATGTTAACATTATGGGAAACCGGGTGAAGCGATTATGGGAAGTCTCTTTGCAACTTTTTTATACATCTAAACTTATTCTAAAATAAGAAGTGTATTTAAAAAAAGATTTCTATTGAGAAAATAAGGGAACACAGAAGAAGTTAGATGAAGATGTGGGTAATACTTTGACGACTTCTGGAGCAGGTGAATTTGTGCTATAAATTTAAAAAGATAACTTGTGTTGAATTTTTACTTCAGATCTAGTTTATGTTTGTCATAATAAGTAGGAAAACACAAAAAATCACAAAGAAAACAAAAAAGTTACCTATTGCAAGTTCACTAAATTAAAATCACCACTAGAATTAGCTTCTAGTAAACTTTTAGTGTAACCCTCCATTATTATTCTATATGTATAATTTTTTTGTGTAAAAATTGACATTTCTCTCAACATACATCTTGAGTTATCAATATATTACAAGCATTTTCTCATGCAAAAAAATATTCTGCTATAAAATGAGTTTTATTGTTCCATCAAATGAATTTTCCATAATTTATTTAACCTATCCCCCACTCCTTGACATTTAGGAAGGTTCCAGCTTTTCACTAGGTGGGGTATTCACTAGGGTAGATAACTTCACAACAAGTAATTTCTATCTGAGATCAGGTTTCCTAGAAGCAGAGCCTGAGAAAAGGATTCAGCTAACACGACATATTGAGGAAGCGCTCTCAGGATAAAGAGGGTGAGGGATCAGGGCAAACAGCTGAGCGAGAACGAGCTCTCCCCTGGAGCCTGGCTTAGCCTGGCCATGGGGAGCTCTGGAGGGCAAGCTGCACCTCAGAGCTGGCCGGACTTCGAACAAAGGACTGGACTGGAATACCCCTCATCAGTCATTGCCTCTAGGCTCTCCAGTGGGGCGGGGGTCCGGGTGCTGTATGCCCAACATCTGGAAGAGTGTAGGCCGAGTGTTATCACCTAAGGAAGTGAGCAGTAATGAGTCAGAGCACTCAGCACTCAGAGCAGCTGAGAAAAACGGACCAGCTGAGCAAGGGGATCCCGGCGGGGACTGACGGCATCCATACAGCCTTGGGCATCCATTCTGTTGTGGCTGTTTGCTCTGGTTGTTAAGGAATGGAAAAGTTGTATCAGAGTATAAACATTTCGAAGACTTTTGGTACAAATTATACCTTTCCTCTAGAAATACCGTCCCAATTTGCATTTCCACCAGCTGTGTATGAAAGTGCTAAATTCCATTTAGATGTTGAAAATGTTTTTTTCCCCCCAATTTGTCATCTAACTTTTAGCTTTGTTTATTTTTTATGTATGTAAAATTTCTATTATATGTAACTAAATATAACAGTATTTTCCTGTATGATTTCCTTCTTTACTTTTATAATTAGATAGACTTCCATTCTGAGATCACATTACTTACATTTCCTTTAATTCTCACGTTTACATGTTTTTCATGTTTCCTGTTTTACATTTAAATATTTAATGGAACTTGAAAATGAAGGATCTACCCTTAGTGTACTCAATTGTTCCAGCCTTATTTAAGGCACTGTGCTACACTGTTTCAACTGTGGTAGCTGTTATAACGTATTTTAGCATTTTGGTTATACAAGTTCATTACATTTTTCCCTTTAAAACATTTTTCAATTAGTCTCTCAGATGTTTTTCTTCCACATAAGTTTTATGATCATTTTGTTGAGTATAAAAAACATTACATTGAGATTTTTGTTGGAATTGCATTAAACTTGTAAATTGATATTGTGAAGAACAGTATCTTCCAAATATGAAATCATCCTATGTCTCCTCACAAGACTTTTCTCTCTCTTTTTTTTTTTTTGTGAGGAAGACCAGCCCGGAGCTAACATCCAATACCAATCCTCCTCTTTTTGCTGAGAAAGATTGGCCCTGGGCTAACATCTGTGCCCCTCTTCCTCTACTTTATATGGGACGCCACCACAGCATGGCTTGATGAGCTGTGTGTTGGTGCGTGCCCAGGATCCGAACCTGCGAACCCCGGGCCGCCAAAGCGGAGCACGTGCACTAAACTGCTGTACCACTAGGCCAGCCCCAAAAGACTTTCCTTATATTCTGTGGTCCAGTTTTACAATTTTCTTTATTTCAGATTTATTGTTAAGTTTATTCCTGGTATTGTGGGTTGTGTATTGTGTGTTTGTATCGTGTGTGTGTTTGTAAATTTGACTGTGAATGCGATTTATTTATTTTTTAGGATATGTTCTCTAAATGATTACAATCATCTCTATGAAAATGCAGATTTTTGTATTTTTAGTTTGCAATTGCCCATGTTACCCTCATTCATCTACACAGTTTTTCACTTGATCCTTTTGGGTGCGTGTTGTGTCTGACTAATGAGTGGACTGACAGAGAACAGCAGAGCCACAGCAGAATGTGGGACTGTTTCCATCCTGGGGGCTGAGAGGGACAGACACCGTGTCTTCCATCTCCATTGTCCCATGTCCAGCCCAGGTCAGCACCGAGTGTGCCAGGGCCCCTGGCTGCCCAGTGTGAGGACCACTAGAACTGCATTTCCACCCCCCACTCCTCTAGCTGCCAACACTTACTCTCGATTTTCTTTATCCTCATTTCCCAGGGGATGAAGATGACCACAAAGTTACAAGCGAGACGAGCAAACTTGCGCCAGAGCTGGAAAGGAGGGAGCAGGATTAGAGAACCTTACGTTCGTGAAGACGGCCATGACTTTGTGGTACTGGGGTCCTAAATGGAGGAGGAGCTCCCAGACACACCGTCTGATACCTTTAATTATGATTTCACAGGCCTGCAGGCAGCTCTAGGACCAAAGCAGCCCCCTTGTCTTTTCTGTGCACCTGCCCGGGGGAGGGCACCTGCTTTGGGCTCTGAGCCATGGTGTTTGCACTGAGGTGCATTTTCTCTAGGGTTGCAGCCTGCCTTATTCCTACTATTCCTGCTGTGGGGATTAAGAAGCAGTGGAAATTACTTGAGGAATGATGTCCAAATACACCCATTTGACCCCACTCTGGGAGTGGGACCCAGGAATCCACATGGCTAACAAACTCCCCAGGTGATTACAATGCCCATTCCTGTTTAAGGAACAGGGGTCTAGAACATACCTTGAAATGAGCCCTGCCCATTTTGTGCCTCCTGTCCTGCAGCTGCAGCTCATCTCCTAGCCTCTTTCCTGGGCAAGGCTGCCATGATAAGGTCTAAAATTTGTCTTGTATGTTTAAGATGCAATTGTCAAAAAGTTTTTTTTTTCCTCAACGGAGAATAAAGCAGAATGTACCCTGACACTGGCCCTGCTCTCCCACAACATCGGCAGGTTGTCCACTTTAACACACAAACAATCTGGATTTGTGTTGAAAGCAAAGGATATCACTGCAGAAAGAAGGATTACAAATGTAATTACAGCATTCTCAACTCTAAGAGAGCACACGGTCCTGATGCAGACACGCATAATAATGTTATTCTGGATGTGTCTGCTGAGGCCAGAACGGCTGCTTCTAAAGGAAAATCGGTTTGAGTTTTATCAGAAGTTGGAACTGTTCATCTTCTGCTTATGATTCAAGACCCAACTCAGATACAGCCACTCCCATGAAGACCTCACACAGATCCTCTGTAGCCAGAAGTCCATTCTTCTGTCTGTAAACTCCCCCAGCAACGACTTTTGTTCTCGCTTGTAATGCTTATCACATCCTCCCTTGCACTGCCTTTCTATTGTTCACTTGCTTATCATCTCCCATAGCAGAGAGGAAGACCAAGGCTTTCCGATCTCCCATCTCCTGCAGCGTCCAGAGGCTGGCTGCTTGAACGTCCTTCTGGGAGGGCTTGGGGTTGGAAAGCTTTTGCTCTGGCCCACTGTCAAGTCCTGAGGTGTAAGATGCCCTGAGGGGAAGGCCGGAGCCTGAGTCCTGGCTCCAGCTCCATCTCTATCTTATTATGTGCCCCTGGGGAAGTTATTTTCTTTCTTTGAGATTCGATTTCCTCATCTGTACAAGAAGAAGCAGGATTCAATCAGCAGTATTCGGACTGCTCTTTCAATTTAACATTGTGTGGAAATTTCAACATGTGCAACAGGCTAAAGCAAGAGGGCTTTAGTAGGCAGAGATGCAAAGCCCCCTCCCCCAGCCTCTGGTGCTTGTTTGAGAAGCCAGGGGCCCTGAACTCAGTTTAAAGAGCCCTGGACTGAGTGACCCCCAACACCCATTCTGGTAATGAGAGTCTATACCTAAAGGCACATGTGATTGAAAAAGGTAATTTTTTGATGACCAAGGTTCGGTGAGGCACAGGAAAACACACCACACTTCTCTGATGATTTGCACTGATTCTCCATTGCAAAAGCCTTGAAACTTGGAGATGACTCAAGATTTGAAGAGCAAAGCAAAAACAAAACAAAACAAATCCCAAAACCAGACTTGGAAGAAATAGGTCCTAATTGTGGGCCCGAGTTATAGAGTTTTGGTAACTAAGAATAAGCTCATTCTTTCGTCTTTGGAAAGGCTTATAAATTCACCTGGAATAAATGTGTTCTAACAACATGTATTCTAGTTTATGAAAATCGTATCCATTCAGAGTGGGTACTGAGCACCTGTGCTGTGTTTCCAGGACTGTGGATGCAAATAGTGAACAAGACATGCAGGACGCCAGTGGGTGCAGAGTTTGCATCTGGGTAGAAGGGAGGCAGCACCAAACGAGTCAGCGCCGCAGGGGACACAGTCCATCAGGACTCGGGGAGAAGGCTCTTTGGAACAAGGGGTCAGGGAAGGTCTATTTGGGGAGGTCGTACTTGAGCTGAGACTTGAATGGAAAGAAGTCAGTATTTCAAAAACAGATAATAAATTGGAAGAGGAGCTATCGAGGAGGGGAGAGCAGCCAGTACAAGTCTGTGGGTTAGCATGAGCAGGGCAGTTTACAGAAGAGGATGGAGGAGAGAGGAGGAAGATGAGATCCAACAGGTAGACAACGGCTGGGTCAGGTGGCAACGGCCACGGGAAGGAATTTGGATTTAATTCTAAGTGTAATGAAAGCCTTTTTATCTATCTATCTATCTATCTATCTATCTATCTATCTATCTATCTATCTATTATTTAAGTAAAGGATGGCAGAAGTGGTTTACTGTTTCAAAGATTGCCCCGATTCCCATGTTTCCAGAAGAGAATGGATTATAGAGGGACATGAGTGGCAGCAGGAGGGCCTGTTAGGAGGCCATCAGTCTATAGACCACGGTAGGCAGGTGCCTTGAACTCCTGCATGGAGGAAGTGTTCTGGCCCAATCACATCATGAAGGCTCTTGGGAAGGGTGACCTCCCTTGTTGGTATCATGGGGAAAACGAAGGACATAGACTATTAGAGCTAGAAGGAATCTTAAGAATCAAACATGAAAACCACATCACCTTCAAAGTCATTTACCCAGAGCAGGTTAACAATGGCAGAAGGACCTGTGTCCTGACTCCTGTGGCTTGCTGTTCCATGTGCCCAGTGCCGCGTTTCTGCCTACGGGACTTCTTGGGTCCTGGTGGTCTCACACACTCAGACCTTGCTTTTATAAGAAACAGAGAAATGTGCTGGTGCTAAAGGTAGACTGTTTGTGGCACGGAGCTTTCCTGCCAGAATCAAGCAGAAACCTATGTGAACCGAGGATGCAGGTGGGAAAGACGGAGGGCTCCAGAGGATGCCTTGCTCTTGGGAACAGTGACTCTGGAGAGAAGTCAGAGCTAGTGTGGTTAGGATCTCAGTGGTGGGAGCCATGGGAGAATGTGAGGTTATAGCATACAAAATTTACTGTTTGGAAAACAGTTACCATTTTTATAATATAAACCAAAGACTATCAATAGAGACAAAACTCACTGGGCAGCAGGCACTATGCTGACTGGCTACGTATCTTCTCTCTTCTCTACTTTGCAGGTGGAGCAGATGTAGGTCTTCAGTGGTCCATATCAAAATTTCCAGTGTAAAAAAAAATGATAAATATACAAAGGTGGAGGAATGCTGTTTTGAATGGGGAGGAGAAGACCCAAAGTGTTAGGAAGACACAGTGGGAGGATGACCTCCTTTGATGCTTCACTGCATCTCCAGGAGACAGAAGGAACTGCGTCTCAGCCACTTCTTTACCTCCTGTGCTCAGCACAAGGCGTGGCACATGGACTACACTGAACTGGATTGAACCACTTTCTGCAAGGCCACTGGTGATACTGAAAGGGCTGGGCTGGCTGTGTCTGTTAAGTGCTGGCTGAAAACTTCTGGGCAATCCCTAGGTAGGGCTGAAAATTTGGATTACCTTTCTGATCGTAAAAACTCTGTTTCTAATAATTCAGCCCATCATCAAGTTACACTTTAATCTACATCGAGCTCACTGTTGCTGACAGTCCCACTACTTTTTGTCTGAACCCAAGTGAAGGAGCTTATATTATTTCACAAAGGTTTTCCCTTGTTATTTCATACAGTTTATTCACAGAAAATAGGGAGAGAGCTTGGCAGCACATAAGCTTATAAAAAGATGATTTTGTTTCATATATTTATTCCATAAGCTCCATCACAGTGTGACAGGCATAAGAAGTCATGAGTAATTTTGGTCATAAAAATGGATTTCGTTTTCAGGAAGACTCTGTGAAGAGTAAAAAGAAAAGAATGCCAAGGCAGAACCTTGGGGATTCTTTGATATTTCATAATTTTTGAGTTATGTAAAATTTATGACCAGCTTTAATTTAAACTTTATTAATAATATTTTTTTTTTGTTTCAGAGAATCTAAAAAGAGTGCATCTGTCAGTTTTTTTCTGTCAAAAGAAACTTTTAAAAAACACAATATTCAATATTGGCTAAGGTATTATGAAGACAGCAAACTCTTTCATTGTAGATGGCAATATAAAGTATTAAGGCTTTTGGAAAATAATTTATTAATATTTATTAAGAGTCAAAAAAATTGGATCATACTCTTTTCTATAGTGGTTGCAGTTCTGACATTTATCCTAGGGAAAGAATTAAAAAAAAAATAGGAAAAGCTATATGTGCAAAGATTTTCTTTGCAGGGTTATTAATAATAATGAAAAATTATAGGGAATTTAAATATTTACCAGCAGGCAAATAACTAATTAAATCAAATACATTTATCTGATGGAATAGTATATAGTCATTGAAAACAATAAGTATAAAACTACATAGCATTATGGAAAAATCCTTCTGTTATGTTGTTAAGTGAAAAAAGAAGACAAAAATGTTTGTATACCATAATTACTCTGATGTGAAAATTATATATTCAATGACAGAAATGTGATATTTTTAAAAAGCTACTCACTCTATCAGGAAGTAGGAGGTCATGGAAGGAGAAATGATTTTTTTCTGTCTTCTAAACGTTTATGAAAATTATTGTAATGTCTTTATAAACAGATAATTTTAATATATACTAAAGTTTAGCTTTAAGGAACTGAATGGGAAAAATAACGAACAAAAACTTTAGCATTGTGTTATAAAATAAGCGTGCGAATATGCATGTAACTTTTTCATTATGAGAGATAGTGAATAAAATCTATGCACAGGAGATTAAGTTAGGAAAGATACTAGATCATTCTCTCAAGGGAAGATATCCTTTTCCTAATGAATTAGGCTTACCCAGGGTCACACAATTGGTAAGTGATGGCGTCGGACTAAAATCCGAGTTTTGGGAAATGCAAACCTTCCAGCTCGTCCGGCTCCACAGCCGCCCGTGACTGATATTCACCACCACGTACGATGACAAGTGCAATGACAGGTGCCACTTCCCCCGGCCCGGAGACCCCAGGAAGGGGTGGGAGCGCCCACGCGTGTATGCTCTTTACCTCTGCACCTGCTGCTTGGTAGCCTCGGGTCCTGGTCAGCCTCCCTTCAAACTTCAGCACAATCTCCTTCGCTCGTCTGGGAGAAGAAAAACGTGACGGTGAGCACCGTGTTATCACACTTAGAATCTTGGCGAAATATATGCAAGTGCCCCGGGAGCAGGTAGCCCAGCGACATAGGACACGATGCTGTGGGAGGGCGGTGGGACTCAACTCTTTCATTTCCTGACTTTTGGTAACCAGAAAGCTCCCTTAAAAAATATTTTCTTTAACATTTAAATGGATGAAATCATAGAAAATAATGAATTAATACCAAAATGAGTTACAACAAAATTTCTTAAAGCTGTTTCCTGATTCTGGTTGTTGGTTGGGGACCATTAGCTTTGGAAATCCTGGCAGCAGGCAGGAGTGTCTCAGCTCCTCCCCTTAATCTCAGCAGCCCTCCTCCTGCAGTGAATACTCTGAAAGCAAAAAGTCAGACCAAGCTTCAAAGAATCTATTTCGAGAAAACGGTGGTGTCTGGATAATGGGAGCAAGAAAGCTGTGTCTGTGTAGCCACAAGCAACCTAATTCAACCCAAACAAACTACTGACACACTGACCACTTCGAAGAGTTGATTTAATGTCCCTGCCTAAATGATTAATCCTTGAAAATGGACTGAATTCATTGAGGTAGACGGTTAAATCCAGCCTAAAAGAACAACAGGATTAGAAATAAATGTTAGTGCCATAGGACAGATTGACGTCGAAGACTCTTAGAGATGAATGTCACCTTCAAGGTGACCTCATCTGATACGACACTGATGAGATCACCAGCATCCATGGTTGCCCACCCTCTGCTTGATTATGAGAACTCAGTTCTGAATCACTCAACGTGCTAGTTCCACCAGTTTACCTGTTTGGGAGTCCCTGCGTGTGCACCCCAAACAGCCTCCTAGCGACACCCACTGTTTCCAAGTCCTTCCTTGAGAGACACAAGGAACTTGCTGATTCTCTTTTCCATAAACAGAGTGATCGCTTCAAAACAGGACCTAACTAGAGTGCTGGGTTTTGGACCTGTCTGCCTGCATTGCAATCACCCTATCTTCATAGCCCAGCCAGTACACTGGCTTCATTCTGGTCAGAACCAGAAATGCAGGCAAGGATAAGAGTCGATGTCCTACCGTATACAGCATCTAAAAGATAGAGGCCTATGAAAATTAAATAATAATTTATTTCATTTAATTACTTATATTTTTTTTTCTGCAAACATTTCCTGCGTACATTTTGGGTCAAGCATAGTGGAATCTGGAAGTGCGTAACAGAGGTGTTGCCCTGGCAGAGCCCACTAGCTAGCAGCCATGACGGAGACCTAAAGTGATCATAACCGAGAGAGTGGGTGTGGTCAGGGCTGTGATAGAGAGGTGAGCCGGTACTGAGGTGGGGGTGACCGGACCTAACCCAGGCCCCTTCACAGACAGTGTTGATTTCAATGGCGCTGACCACTTGCTTCTCTACAAGGGAAACGAGCGTGCACTGGATCCCCAGCCGGTGGCTGTTGCTCCAGGCCGGGAGCTAGAGCCGGCTCTGTCCGTGTCCGCCACGCTGCCGCCATCCCCGCGCAGTCAGGCTTCACTGCTCTGCGCCCGCCGTGGAGGCACCGGGATGAGCTCACAAGGTACGATGAGTGAATGCGTCGCTCCAGCAGCTTCTCAAGGTGAGGACAGGAGACACGTGTGACAGGGGATGACAAATGCAGGTGCTCAGAGGCCGGCGCCGGCCGTCTCGGGGCCCCAGCTGAGCGCTGGAGCGGGCACCACGGCAGAAGGCTTGGTTTGTTGTTTTGTTTCTGAATGCCTTGACAGAACAGATATCATTTGCCCTGCTCCTCCTGCAGGTTAAAAAGGCTTAATCTCTCACTGTTCAGATAATCATCAATCATCAGCATTTCTGTACGATTTTTAAAAATTCTAATGGAACACACGCCTTTTTTAAAGTAAATTGCTCCAATGAGTCCTTTGGCAGAGTTCCTCTGTTTCAATAGACTAGAATGTTGGAGTGGGAGTCAGAAAGCCTAGGTTTTTGAAGCTCAGTTCCAGCACTCAGAAGCTGTGTGTCCTGGGGCAAGACACTCAACATCTCTGAGTATCAGTCCTCTTCTCTGAAAAATGCCATCCTTACTCAAAGAGGTGGAAGTGATGAGAGCTGATAACAGACATGAGAATTAATTGGAAACCTCTGAGAGTGAAAACTATGGATGACCTTAGCTATCTGCTACAGCCACCTGAGGTGCAGGCTGCATCTTTGGCCAGACTGGAAAAACAGTGCCTGGAGTGGAAATCTAATGAAGGTATGATTTGATGGGAAAGAAATGCAAGCCTGAGCATCGAGATGGAGAGAAAGGGCTATCTGCTTGACGTCTGGAGAAGGGCACTGAACAGAAAGATACGACGGTGGTTCTAATCCTGTCCACACAGTGGGTGCCTGATGATCAGGTGCACCTGTTTCTCCAGGAAGGTCCACTTCCTGGGTCAGAGTAGCTCAGTGGTGCGGTCACTAACACCATTCTGCTGACTCCCTTTGCTGTGACCCCCGGCATCAGCATCACCAATTATTACCCACCCCAGGGAATGACTGCTGTATACCAGATGTGATGCTCTGCATCCACATGAGCTATCTCACTTAGTCCTTGAATGCCTATCAGCGGAACTCAAGCTTTAGTATGCAAAAGAATCAATCTGAATGGTGTTAAAAATGCTGAGGCCTTCTCCATAATTTCCGATTCAGTAGGTTCGAGGGCAACCAAGGGTGTCGAATCTCTAACAGCACCCTGATTGCTTAGCAGTGGACATTTTTGGAAACACTGCTGCAGGAGGTGGGAGCTATTCTTCATCATCACTTCAGCTTTAAAGAGAAAGGAACTGGTATTCTGAGAAAATAAGAAAACTACCCAGTGTAGCATAGCTAGTGACTGGGAGAGGTAGTCTCGAAATTCAGGCAATCTGTCTTCAGATCTTTCTCTCTTCGCGATTGTCTAAACAGGCTCTCCAGGATGACTCTGAGTATGATGATAATCTGGTTTCCTGTAGAGATTTTTCCCCTCAGAGGGAGGTAACAGCCAACCAGGTAAAATTAACATCTATTTTCCTTCTAGATTATACACCTGTCTCTAGCGAGTTACCCTATCTTGTTCACCTCTAGACGCAATATTAAAATCTAGTGTTTGAAAAGGAGGTAGAAAACGAAAATTTTCCACCCACACACGTACCCAACCCAGACAAACATATACAGGCATGCGCACAGAGGAACAGGGCACCTTGAGGCCCTGTCTGGACCAGCTGGACCCCTCAGACATCTTTGTGACTCCTCTAAGTCAGGTCAGGAGTGACTGCTCACATGGGTCTTCCTGCTTGTTGCCATGGGCAGGGCAGGGGGTTTAGCAGAAATCACGTCTGCAATAATCAATAATTGCTGTCGAGGCCCTTACCTCAGTGCCCTCAGCTTCTGTCCCATGGTCCAGGGTCTGCAGCGAATGTTTGCCATGAGATCTTTCTGAAACTGTATATTCTGGAAGATTTGTTCTGGATCGTTGCTGTCCCCTGTTTCATCAGCATTAAAGCTATCATCCAAGTTGCTGAATGGATCAGGGCATTAAAGAGGAAATCTGATTAGTAGAATTGTTTCCAGCAAAGATATTCTTGCCCTGGGCAAGTTCAGCATCTCACTGCCCAAGGGTCATCTGTATGAAGTGTGTGTGTGTGTGTGTGTGTGTGTAGAAAGAGAGGGATCCGGGGAGGTAGAGAGAGAATTAGGCAGTGTGAGCAGCCCACTGGAACACGTTTGTTACATTCAGTGGGTCAGTGAAAGAGAATGGTTTCTCAGGATGAAAGCTATCAGAAGACACGGTAAAAGGAGACAAGAGTGTGCTTATATACAATTCCTAAATAGCAGCAATTTCTTGTTCAGGATCATTGAAATAATCAGCCAATTTTAGAGACCTCCTTGTCCCCCAACTCTGGAGGTAAAATAAATAGAAACCAAACTCTGTCACCCAGAGACCCCTCCCTACACTCCCACTTCGATTCATTTGAAGCCTGAGATAATGGATGCAGAATAGGCAGCAGTTTCTATGAACAAGAAATTAGGTAAATGAATTTTGTGGACAAATATTTCAGGGAAGTAGTTACTCTCTAGGAGAACAATTTCTTTTAACATACAGCAACAATTTATTCCCAGTAACAATTAACATGCTAATCCTAATGTGCCTTTTCAGGAGGAGATAAGACTAGGTGGCTATGTCTATTTGATCAATGATGCACTTAAAAGTAAGAGAAAATAATTGCTTTGCTTTTCTCTAATTCAGATTGTTTTTGCTTACTGAATGAAGAATTTTCTCCAATTCTCCAAATTAATGGAGGTTTTAATATACCTTTATAAATATTTAACAATTCAAATAGCACTCCCCCCACTTCTAACGAGCCTAAAGACTTTTCCAACAGACACCTTGTTTATTATGACAGATGTATTATCTACTCTCTCTTGTCATTGCTGGTTGAGTAAAAAGAGAGAAAACAGATACAGCATGCCTGTGGGATTGACCAGCAATGAAGCCAGGTTGGAGTACAGCTTTTGGATTCGGATCCCCTGGTCAACAAACAGGTGGAGCCCTCTGTGCACATTGCTGAGGTTGCCAACCCAGTTGTACAAGAACCTGGAGAAAGGAGTTTCCTGGTTCCTTCTGAAGGAGAACCGAGCAGGATGGGGACTGTGTCCTCTGGTCAGATGTAAGCAAGGCTCTAGTGACCCTGGCTTCCCTTCCTCACACACCTGCCTCCTCTGCCCAGCGAAAGGATGGGACTGGCTCACCTGAGCAGCAGGGACTCCTGGTAGAAGTAGTGCTGGCTGGCATTTCTCCGGATGCTTCTACTGCGCTGGGACGCCTTTGAGGGTTTCATGGGAGCCGACCTGCTGCAACGATCAGTAGGGGAAGGCAGGGCCCTGGGAAGCCGGCAGGCAGGGGGCTTCTCCAATGGAGGTTTCTGAACAGGCGCTGCACGTTGCTCTGCCCTCCAGTTCTCAGGAACGGGACTGCGAGTCCGGAGCCAGTGCTCCGAGCAGGGGAGAAGCCGGGAGGCCCGTCATGCATATGCAATGGTAAGGTGGCTGCGGCAGCGTGGATTGGCTGGAGGCCTGACGGCTGAGGGGGGAGGCTCAGCCAGGTTGATCCAGGGATCAGCTGGTGCTACCCGAATGATCACATCTGTGACCCTTGTGCCCAGACAGGGCTCTGTGGTTTCCAAAGCTTTTACATCTATTACCACCGTCTTCACAAAATACTTGAAGAGCATTTAAAGCATAGCTTATTTATTCCCATTTTTCCCTCTCAAGAAAGAGGCTTAGCAGGGGTAAGAATCTTGCCTGTGTTCACACAGTAGTGTCCAGGAGAGGCACGGTCATAACATTGTATTTGTTTTTATTTTTTCTCAGCTTTTTTTTCTATTTTGAAAAACCTACAGAAATGTTGATTGAACGGTGGCACAAAATCGTATACTCCTAACCTAGATTTACAAACTGCTAACATTTTGCCACATTTGCTTTTTTCTATCTCTATCCTTTTTCTCCCGACACCACTTAAAAGTAGGTTTCAGAAGTAATGACGTGTCACCCCTAAATACTTCAGCGTAGTAATAATAATCAAATTAACATTTTTCTTATACTTTGCACTTACTAAGTGTGATTACGTTAACCAGCATGATGATCCTATGAGACTGGGGCCAAGAGAAATTAAGAGGCTTCCTAGAGCTTCATGGTAAGAAGTGAGAATTTGAGGGAGATTAGATCCTCACGCAGATGTTCTGAAAAGAAATCATGCACTGTGAAAAGGGATGCCTAGCCCCTCCTGGACTCTGGGTGAAGATCAGCAGCTCCCCCTTCCGTAGCCACAGGCGGAGGGGTACCCACTTTCCTTATCACTGCAGGTTCCCATTTTCAGCCGTTCACGACTACCATTCACCAGGATTCTCCGTCGAAGAATTCATCCCCAAGTCCAGGACTTTCCCACAGTTTCACAATATAAACCTCTATTTTCTAATTAACACAAGAAATGGTTTGTTTGCAGAAAGGTTAGTGGTACATTAACCAAACGGGAAGGTGCAGGACTGAAATAGAAGTGGCCCTGTCTGTGGAACAGGCCACCTGGTACACTAGAGACTCAGCAAACGGGCGAATAAACAATGGCACCAGACAGTGGGGCAGAAAGGAAATCCATCTGCAACTCCAGGAGTGGGGCTTAGGAGAGGGACTTCATTCATTCATTCATTTCTTCATTACTCCATTAGCAAATAATTAGGTAGCTCCTACTATCGGCCGCACACTGGACTGGCAAAGGGGAACCAGAGCCCTTGGCGGGTTCTGAGGTTCAGGGGCTGTCAGACAGTTGTTCAGACCTAGAGCTCAGGGCAGGGAACAGAGCAGAGGCCCAGATGCCAGGGCGAGCCTTCGCACCCAGATGCCAGGGCGAGCCTTCGCACCCAGATGCCAGGGCGAGCCTTCGCACCCAGATGCCAGGGCGAGCCTTCGCACAGAGATGGACCTGGAGGCCTGTGAGATCACGTCACCTGTCCACTAATTTGCCTGAGGCCATTTGACCAGATAAAATTTGTGTTTATCAAATGGACAAAATGGCATATATAATAGGATTTTTTCTAGCACCCTGAGGGTTTTTTTTTTTGGCATTCTCTTAGAGATCTTTACTTATACGGACTATTTCTGAGCATTTCAAAGACTTTCATCCTACTTTTTTCAAAGACCCATCTGCATTGTTTTGAAATATTTATTCAAAATTTGAAATATTGTATATAAATTTTATGCAACTAACTATTTTGAGCATTTTTGTCTCTTCTTTTCATGTATATATTTGTGTTTTGGGGGAATATAGAGAGGTAATAGCAAATTTTGAGGTCCTACAGGGATTTATTATAACAAATTAGTGCAAACCTAATTATTTTGTTTTCGTTTTTATCCAGATAATTCTGTTTGACAGTTTGGGTGAGATAAAATGGATTAATCTGAACATATTTAATGATTTTTAATATCCAAATTGTAAATTAACTGGGATAATTAAATAGGAATAACTACTACTTTTGATATGAATCAATTATACCCATATTTTACCTAATTTTAAAGAAATGTAGATTTCTAAATATTTTTTATGAAAGTAATGTGTAGACATTAAATAAAAAATGGAAACAATAGGAAAATTAGACATAGGAAAAATCACCTAGAACAATATTGCTTAATGATATTAACTGTTAACATTTTCAGCTTTTTATCAAATGTATATTTTTCTTTGTATTTATATATTTTGCAATTTTACTATATATATGCATTTCTCTTAACCTTTCCATCAATTGTATATCTAAAGCAATGTCCATTTTTTTTTCAAATTTTTGTGAAAATATTTTACCAATAGGCCATTGAATGGAATATTCCATCTAGAACATGAAGTATTCAATTTTGCCCCATTTCTCAAACATCCATTTTGTCCTCCCACATACATTTTTTGCTATTGATGTTTTTTCTGCTTTTAGCATCGTTTCTTTAGAATTAATTTTCCAGAAGTGAAATTACTTGATCAAAAAGAATGTGATTTAAAAACATTCAGTATGTTGTCAAATAGAAGTCGCTCTCTTTTCAGTTATATTGATTTAATGCATTTTTATTATCATTGGCAAAATGAGTTCTTAATGTGATCCAATTTATCTATGGTCTCTTTATGGTTTTCTTGGTCTAATTTTTAAAAATTTCCTCCCAAGTCCACCTGGCACTCATTTTGGTGATGAGTTCAAGGTGAGGCCTTAATCGCTGCTCCTTGTTCCCAGCAGGAGAGCCTCAGACTCACCTCCCGAATTCCTCTCTGATTGTCCACTCCTCTGGACTCCAGAGGGCCGGGCAGAAAGGGAGCTGCAGCAGGGATGTTGTTTTCTGAATGCAAGGGGATAAATTACTCGCAGGTGTTTTACTTCCTCTGACAATTTGATTAGAGGCTTTCGATGTGCTAGATGATTTTAAGTTAAGCCAGCATATGTATAGATAAATAGATCATAGATAGATAGATAAAATGACTAAAAATCCCTGAAATGCTTACAATTGGAACGTTAAAAAAAAAAATCAAGCTCTAATGTCAAAATGAGCTAGAACTCGTATTTCCTAGACCAGCTGCTTACAGGATCTGTGTGGTGGGAGAAGGAAGGTAATGAAGGGGAAGGGAGAGAAGTAGCAAGTGAAGACCTTTTTGTATAAAACACAAACCTCGGGGCGGCCCATTGGCACAGCAGTTGTTTGAGCCTTCCGCTTCAGCGGCCCGGGGTTCAGGGTTCCCAACTATTTGGATCCTGGGTGTGGACCTACTCATCGATCATCAAGCCATGCTGGGGCAGCGTCCCACATAGAGGAACTAGAAGGACATACAACTAGGATAGACAACTATATACTGGGGCTTTGGGGAGGAAAAAAAAGAAGAAAAGAGCAAGATTGGCAACAAATGTTAGTTCTGGGCCAATCTTCCTCAAAAAACCAAAACAAAAACACAGATCTCTTTCAGTTAAAAAAAGAAAAGAGTAAAACTTAGTTATAAATCCCAGGAAGTTTTAACAGAAATCATCAGATGGCTTAGCTTACAGGAACAAAAACATTTGTTTCCTACATCATCAATTAAAGAAATTTTTCCCCCAACTAAGTGAATTCTATTCTGAGACATTATTATCCCCAAGCACGTCTGAAAGTGTTATGTATGAGTCCCATTGGCAAGGCCGAGCTCCCTTTTCTAAGTTATCAAGTTTTTAGCTCTGGATTTTATAAGAGAGACTTTTCCATTTCTGAGATTTATTTACATGCCTGTTATATTGTTTTAGTGGCTCCAAAGGCTTTCGTTTGAAGTTTAGAAATACGTTTCGGGACTGGAAAATGTCATTTAGAAAAGATGCCCAAGAATAGATTGTTTCCAATTATCTGAATAACAACTGAATTTGTTGAGACATGAGAACAAATGTTTTTTTCATTGTTGTTGAATTCTTCGTGAAATCATCAGCTGCTAATAAGCCTGAAACTGAGCAGATGCTCTGAGAGGTCCATCAGGGGTCACGTAATGCTCTGTGATTCATTTAGACAGTCTGAGAGATTCACAGGCGGGCTGGCGGGTGGGGTTGTCCCTTGCAATGGTTGCCTCTTGCAATAAGTGAAGACAGATTGTCACCCCGACGAATCCTTTTGGAAGAGGAACTGATCATTAGATGGGTTGCAATTGGGATACAAACTCTAGAGCTGCCCGGTCTTGCTCTGTTATGCTTTCTCTGGGAAAGAAATTCTTTTCCATAGATGACTATGTCTAAACACATAAACTGTCCTAGGAAAAGGAAAAACATCGAACTTTCTCAAAAAATGGGGTAAAGGAAAGCAGTTGCATTCCTTGTCAAGCAACCATGTAGTAGTTGGCTGAGATTTTTCTTTAATGATTTCTAGCTTGTATTTTCCCTAATGTCTGGGGGCTTTTAGAAAGCACAGCCATGTTGTCTCTGAGGAGGGCTGGCCTTTCTCAGCTTTTCCTGCACGTACACTCTTACGGAAATGCTCTGTCGCATCAGCGGACGGCCACCCACAGCGGATCACGGTGCAGCTGAGTGAACAGGGAAGAGTGGATTCCCATCAAATTGTCTTTATGATGTATTGACCACCTAACTGGGAACTTTACCATGTTCTTGCTTCAGACTAGCTGTGATATTTTAAAATTTTCTCTTTTAAGAAAATTATCTTCATCTTTTCCTTCAATTTTCACTGACGTCTTTCATCATGTATTTTTGACATATTTCTTTTCTTGTTTTATAAAGACCTTTTAAAATCCTTTTCCTTAAAGGGCAAAGCAATTCTTTCCCTAACATTTACTTTAATTTCCTGAAGCCAGACTTTTAAAAAATTAAATATCCTCCCCTGCTTTTTTTCTTTCAGAATTCTATCTCCTTCTTTTAGGTTAAAGCAT